TCTTTTGTCCAGCAGCCGTGTGAAGGTCATCCATGAAGGATATTTTGCCTGCTTCTCGATCAGACTGATATTAACTTCTCATATCGTCTCCGGCGGTGCAGAAACGCACCATTTTACTCAGTATTCCTGCTTAAAAAAAACACCAACATCAGGCCTGGAAATAACGCTGTGCCTTAACGAACAAAATATAATAAAAAGAGTGTAAATAAAAGAGGTTTCATCTAGTATTTATATTTATGAGCCCCCAAACAGCAATATACAATACAAATGCGCAACGCTGCGAGAAGTGCACTAAATAATTCAACCTACAGCCGAACGCATGTGAGCTTTGGTCTTTTTGAAAAGCAGGCAAAATATTCATAATTTAAAAGTTGTTTATGTATATTTAAGGAGTTTAGGGGGAATCAGAAGGGCACGGGGATTAGGGATCGTCAGTGTTTAGTTAGTATCAGGGACGTTGAGGCAGCAGAATTAGCTTGTTTTTGTTCCTACTAGAATCAAAGTTATGGTTAAGCTTTGGAAAGAACTGGTTAGGTGAGGTTAGGTTAAAGGTTAGAGGTTTTCAAACACACAAATTCCACACAGAATGACTGGACAAAATGCTAAAAAGTGCTGTCGTTTGCTCGAAGAAACTTCCAGATGGCTACTCTTCTACTCTGGAAGGAAAAAAAGTGGGTTTTATAAGGGGTCCTAATCCATCTCCATCGGCTCACCGCCATGCGTTCAGGCCCGAGTGACCTTAAAAATGTCTCCGCCGAGGCCCTACAGAAAAACTCACCGCCCACATCATATCAGACGGCCGGTGACTCGCAGAGCGAGATGCCTCTCAATGGGTGGAGCTTAACATCCAGCCACACCTCTCTTTACACGATTGGTGGAGCTTGACATCAAGACCCGCCCCTCTGTAAATGATGGGTTGAGCAGCTTGACATCCAGCCCCGCCCCTCAGTATACAACGGTTGTGGCTTGACATCCAGCTTCACCTCTCTATATGCAATGGGCGGAGTTTGACATCCAGCCCCGCCTACCTGTACGTGGTAAGTGGACCTCAAAGGGTTAGTTGACCCAAAAATGAAAATTCTGTCAGTATTTACTCACCCTCATGTTGTTCCAACCCCGTAAGACCTTCGTTCATCTTCGCAACACAAATTAAGATATTTAAGATATTAAGATCGCTCCATAGGCTTCTTGAGGGAATGACTCTTGCTGGCATCGAAAAGTCATTAAAGACATCGTTAAAATAGTCCAAGTGACTACAGTGGCTCGATTTTAACTCTATCAAACGACGAGAACACTTTTTGTGCGCAAAAACAAACAAAAATAACGACTTTATTTCAACTATTCACTTCCTTCTCCATGGGCCTGTAGTCAGTTAACGTAGTGTGATTGCGTAAAGCTACGTCACACGTAGGCTCACTATTGGCCGACGCTGGTCATGTGTGTGATGCGTGTGACGTACAATAACAGAAGCTTACGCTATTAAACTAGTAACCTGACTCGCGCAGAGGGAGAAATAAACCAATAGTTGAAATAAACTCGTTATTTTTGCGCACAAAAGCGTTCTCGTCGTTTGATAAAGTTAAGATTGAGCCCCTGTAGTCACTTGGACTATTTTAGGCCAGCAAGAGTCATTCCCTCAAGAAGCCTATGGACTAGTATGCAGGAGCGATCTTAATATCTTAAATATCTTAATTTGTGTTGCGAAGATGAACGAAGGTCTTACGGGGTTGGAACAACATGAGGGTGAGTAAATACTGACAGAATTTTCATTTTTGGGTCAACTAACCCTTTAACAACCAGCTCTGCTTCTTTGTATGTAATAGGTGGGGCTTGACATCTAGCCCCGCCTCTCTGTACATTATGGGTGGAGCTTGAAGGTCCAGCCACACCCTAACCCTAATGAGGCCAAGCTCCAGCCATTACACTTACAATGGTCGGTCCGTATAAATGAATACACTTTCAGTATAAACAGCCTTCAAACTACCCAAAGAGCTTGACGTTTCAAAACAACTAACAATGACACATCATTGTCTTTAATAACCAAAGAACCACATAGCAACGCCATAGAAGTTCATTTGGGTCCATCAAGTCACAGTGTGTGTCCTGCTCTTAACCACTGTAGCAGAGCTTAAAAGCCATCAATTAGACAAGCACCTCGGGGCCTGTTCCAATCAGCCTGCACAGGAAGTGCAAACCACAGCAGGAAGCTGTCCATTTATCTGTCCCGCGTTCCTCCCAAGGTATCGCCTGTGGAGATTCCAGGAGGAGCAGCTGTACCTACACCAAGACGAGATCCATATATCAGACGACGGCCTTCAAAAGCACACCAGATCTTGTTTTCCTCCCAAGAAAAATGACTTCGGCCCCGGTATGGAAACTAAAGAGATCAGTTTCACTTCGGAATAGAGATAAAAACAGGAAAGCAGGAGTCTTGGCTGGTGCCGACCGCTACAGGCCTTTTTCTCATCAGCATAAATCCCTCCAGGTCGGAGAGGATCGCTCTAAAGTAAACATCCCCACGTAAGACACCTTCACTCGCTCTCAGGGCTCTGCTGAAAGAGCTTTCAAAGACACAACAAAACAATCAAACCACTTGAACTAGGTCAATCCCTCTAAAAGCGGCTGGCGGACCAGTTTGACCAAGCTGGGAGATCAGCTAAGACTTGATTTCTTCAGCTGAGAGTCTAAGGTCATTGAGGTCGTAAGGTGTGTTGGGATAATGTCAATTAATAGCCAAAATTGTTCACAACCATGCTGAAAAATCCAGCTAAAACCAGCCTAAGGCTGGTTGGCTGGTCTTAGCTGGTTTAAGCTGGATTTAGTTGGTCACCCAGCCTGGCTTAGCTGGTCAAGCTGGTCTCCCAGCCTGACTTAGCTGAAAAAGTGTTCAAAACCCCTGATAAACCAACCATAACCAGGCTGGGAGACCAGCCAAAACCATTGGCTGGTTTTAGCTGGATTTTTCAGCAGGGAATCCAATCAGTTCCCAAGTAAAATGGGGTTTAAATGTTGCCTTCACCTTTCGAGCGCATGAACTGTGGAGGACCTGCAAATGTAATCCATCCCTTGGGTACAGGACCTCGGGTGATGTTTGCTTTTGGCTTTATAGATCCAGGCTGGGCCAGAAGGCTCCTGCAGTTTTCAGCCATCTAGGCTGGTTCTGCTCAGATGATAAATATGTTATTGTGATGGAGTTGAGCAAGCGCTCGGTGGCGCACGGACCGAGGGTGTGTCCGGCGGTCAACAACAGAACCGCAACTGCTTGGCCGGAGCTTCTGAAATGCTAATCTGCTATTCTTCTGTTTTATAACCATCGGAATATTTGCGGCCGGCGAGAGTTGAAGCAAAGCCAGAGAGCTGGATGTGAACGGTTTAACACAAAGACTTTCTGCAGTGTGCCATCCCCAAAAGCTGGGCCGAGTCTTGAGAGAAACTGGGAAACGTTTCATGTTAGTGGGCGAGGAGAAGAAAAAGAAATAAGGAGGGTACAGACAGACGTGAAAGGGAAAGCAGAGGGTAGGACATGCATTTTAAAGCAAAGTTAAAATGCCATCTGCTTCAGGGACACGAGGAAGCTTGCGCACTCACTGAGACACTTACCAAAGGCTTCTGGAAATGATAATAAACAGAAAAAGAAACAGAAAGGAACAATAAAACAGCACATTTTAGGGTCGGATTCACAGCAGCTACACACATCCTGAAGTCAACAGAGTTTAGTGGGGAAGATCTCTTTGTTAAACAGATTTTAGACACGCACGATTTTATCTCACAAAACCTGTCAAGAACATTTCCAGGTTCCTTAAATGTATAGTTAGAGTCAAGGTTAGGTTTCTGCTTTATGTATAGTGGGTGAAAACAATTATTGCCTTAAGAAATTCATTAACATCTGTAAAGATTTAGAAAAATATGGCATTTTAATTACCAATTAGACGTTCCAAATAAATACTACCGAAAGCATTTAGATAACTCACCAACACACAAATTGAATTAAGACTGTGATTATAGCTAATTTATACATGCTGTATGCTGTGCATACTGAATTTAGTTTGTCTAATTAGTAGTACTCCAATGGTATGTTAATTATTAAGGGGTAGTCAATGTTCTGCATGTGAATGCCGCCAGAAACCTGCTTCAATTGAAATAGAGACAAGAGAGTGAAGCACAACAACGAGTATGACCGACACACACACAGTGACGAAAAGACAGACAAAACATACAGAGGGAGGACAGGTTTTGGCTGTATGCTAACAAACATTTTCAGATTTGTCTGGTTAATCTTCTATATCTGTTGGCAGGGGAGAGAAATTAGCTTGAGGCTAGTGACTTGGCTAATGGAAGCTAAAAGGGTTGACTATTTAGTCCTCAACTGGAGAAGTCAAAGGCATTTGTGTTCCTGTACCAGAGCCAACGGTGTTACGGAGGCCTGTGATACCCCCTCAGCGAGTCTGGGTCTTCCATTAACACAGAGCAAAACAAAGTCTAACATAAGTGAGAGCAGATGTAGCCGTTCACCACCAAACCGTTTTGCTTGAATCTGAAAGTCTGTTTTGAAAATGCCATGACGGATCCTGAAAAGCGAGTTCAGGTCAAGGGTTGGTAGCCGAGTATCCGCCGCCCATACCGATTTGCACCAACAGCTCTGAATCAAACGCAACCCAATAGATTTTCTTTGCTCTGTTGCTGACAAATCACTGACCCACAACGGTGGCCTTGGGGCGACTGGAGCGCTAGACTTAATGAGATATATAATTAGACTCTGTTTTACTGGGTCTTTCAATAAAGTTTCATTAGCCTAAACCAGACATTAATCATACGCTTGCCACAAAATCTGGACTAAGCTCCTCTGACACTGTTCATTAAAAGTCATTATCTTTCCATTTCAGCTTCCCTGGCAACTTTAACGCTCTGGGTGGTTGTTTTGGAAGAGCGCGGGGCACCTACAATCAGAAAGAGGACTGATACAGCGAGAGGAAAAGAAGCATATTAGTCGTTTGTCTTACCTGATCTGAGCTGTTTGATTCTGCCGTTACTCGTGCTAGGGTCGATGGGAAGGAAGTCTTTGAACCAGGTGATTTCCGGGTCGGGGTTACCACTGGCGGCGCAAAGCATGGTAGCCGTGCGTGTGCGCTCCACTACCTTCAGCTGTGGGCCCATGTCGATGTTGGGGAACCCCCCAGGAAGTTGGTCTTCTGTAGGGGACAACATAGAGAAGTTTAAAGACGAGCAGTAGACATGGCAATTACCAACTGGAAAGTTGGAAGCAAGAACCAGAGGTTTGGACACAAATAATATGCATTCAGACGTCAAAAGAAGCTTTAAGAAGTCAGATATAGGTACTAGCCACCTGAGAACTAAATGTTCCCCAAGGGCCATTTTCCTGGTTGCATTCCAGGTAGGAACTACGGACGTAAGCCATGCCTTGCACTTTTATTTTGAAGGTGTGGCGGACATTGATGGCACACAGTGCTCCCGCTCTCCCGTGTTTATTCGTTTACGATCTGTTAAAGGGATAGTTCAGGGATAGAAAGATTATTGAGTGACGCCACACGCAAGCGATCACTTCCGGCGTAACATTGAACTGATTCAGTTCGGTTCAGTTCGACATTGCACAACTGATTCAGATCACTGTGATTACACGAGGTAAAAACCATATAAATACTGTTGGTTTTCTCACACAAACCGCTCGTTTCGTGTCTTAGGCCATCAGTGTGTACTTACATTTACGAGTCATTAAATCATGTTTAATTTGGACTTCTCTGTGCTGCTCTTTGGTGGACCCCCTTAGCCTCCAGTGTATGACTGATAGACAACAACGGTTTGACTGAAAAATGTCAAAATTGAAAATACTGCGGAAACAAAGACACGTCCATCTTGGATGCCCTTGAGGTAAGCTAAAACATATCAAAAATTAATTTCAAAGTGAACTATCCCTTTAATATGTGATTAGATAGAACTGTTATACAAAGAATGTAAACCGTATATGAATATATTAGCGTTTGCAATGTGGTTGATGCCCATTGTCGCTAGCTGAGCAGAAATACCTAAACATGTTTGGCTTTGTCCCCTCAAAAATCGAGTCCTTAGTGTAAAAATTGAGAGGTCTATTTGTCACTGCTTCTCATGTTCGTAGAGTTAGTTTGTGGAGTAAATATATAGGCTATAATCTGTGTGTTTACATAGCTTTTGAAAAAAAATTGCATTTCTAGCGCATTTGGCCAGTCAGTGTACTTTTACGTCGTATTGTGCTGGGTTAGACCCTACTCTGAAGTAGGAGCTAATTTAGTTCCCCCAAAAGGCGGTCCTAGGACTAAAATCGTTTCCAGTTCCTGCAGTGCGAACACGCCAAAAAATGGGTACTTCCATTATTAGTTTGTGCGATAGCCCCTAGTAACCTACTCGAAAGTTCCTTCCTACTAACTCTAGATACTACTAAACGAGCATCTGGAAGAACCAACTTGGCTTGCAATGAGCGAGTGGACCTTTTTTCTACAGGGATTGCTGAGGGGCAAAATCCAACATTAGCATAGCAAAGAGCTCACCCGTACCATCATACACACCACTCGGGCCCTACAGATCAGAGTCTACACTAGCGACAGGCCCGTTTAACCGGGGCAAGCACTGGTGATATTTCACCCCAGGTTCCTCCATAGTTGAAGTCAATTTGAAGAGACAGGTGACATACAAACACACAATAGAGTTTGACAATTCCCCCCTCTCGCTCTTCAGCAGAATCCAGCATGGCTGATGCCTGTTGTTGTAAGCCAACACAAGCTTGCACACTCTTCATGGCATCTGCTGTTAAGACAATGACTGATAATGTAAAGGGAAAACCTTTCACTTCTTTGTCCTGGTGTGACTCACATACTGGCCGAGGACTGTGGACAAGTCAGGCTCTAGGTGTGAAGGTCACATCCTCTGAACCCTTTGAGAATCAGAAAGGTGTGCCAAGACTCATGACATTACAGGGAACCAAATCAATGCACCTGGTACCAGAAACGGTTGTTTTTACACCATGAGCCAATGTTTTGTCCAATGACCTTTTATTTCCATGTTCTTGTATTCAGTGTTGGCTGGGGAAGCATTATGGCTGCCTATTGATTAAAAGGTTTAAAAGTTCCTGCTTGGGGGGGAAAGGTACTACACAGGTAAGTGTCCTTTCAAAACAAGCTATTCTGTAACATTTCGGAGAGCGACAATCTTTGTTTATGTGATCCATGGCCTGATTATCCATGCTGTGACACCAGAATAGGATTTCTGAAAGCCACATAAATTAAGCCTTAAACACACGACGAGTAATTTGATTTGAGCTTAATTAAAGGCAGCAAGTGCCGGGTAGTCTTGACTGGTGGTGGGCGAGTGGGAGCAGCAAACTGAGCCACTGATAGAAATGTCAAAGCAATGCAAATTCTACTTGTGAAAGAGGTCGAGACAGGACTGGCAATGACACCAGTGTCATGGTGCTGCATATACTGCCATAATGACTGCGGGCATACAAAAGCAAATGGAAAGAGTGTCTATATTGTCACCAGGATGCAACAACTGAACTGGAATCATCCGTAAAAAGAGACTTACCACGAGCACTCCCAATGTAGAGATGTCCTCTACGGGTAATAGTAATGGAGAATGGCTAGAAATAGAATTTGCCTTGCAGATGTACTCTTCAAACACTCAAATTGGTTCAGGGTCAGTTGCTCTGGTAAAATACGAAGGAAATCAGGCAGTAGGGAGGCATATCCGCGCCAAGAGCCCTTAGTCCTGTCCTGTCCTGCCTGGCTTGTATTCACGCTTAAAAAAGCCCTGGAGTTATAACTCCAATATTCCCCACCAATCCGACCACACAATTAGGTAGCTATTGTCTCCACAACAGATTTTTGATATTGTCACAACCAGTTGATTTACAATTAAGCTCTGGGCATGTGCACTAGAGCCTTGTGTCATCCCATAACCCTCAACGCCAGTTTTAATTGGAAGGCTTTCAAATAGTTGTCCATTAGACAAAACACAGCTTTCCCCACTTTCAGTCGCCACACTGATGCTAGCCGGTGCTTTGTTCTGCACTTTGCAGAGGGCTAATTCAACATCACAGTTCCTTAAAAAATGCAATTACCGGGATGCAATTACAGGCCTATGCCGGTTCTGGGTTTTTATCTGGGCGGCTCTGAAGGCCGCCTCTGGCCTGGCTAAGAGGCTGTTAAGCCGCGATGATAATGATGCTGTTATGATGTTCAGTGTAGCGGGCTGAGTGCACCGGCCACTTTAGCCAACAGCTGCGCGTTCACCGATTCAGCGGGGCACTGAAGTCGTCCTAAACACCCTGCCCCTCACCCCTAACCCTCCGATCCGCTAGCTTTGATGCTCGCGGTTATTATCTGTAATTGCATTTAATTGTAGCTTGTGATTTAATGGCATTATGCAAGTGACAGGTGCAAAGCCTCTTAACCTGAGCGGTCAGTTTAGTGCAAGTGGATTCGCAGACGCGCATCCATGGTAATAAGCAAATGAGTTTTGATTGATTTATGATGATCTCTGAAGCTCATTATCCGTGCAGCTGTAATATTTCGCATCACAGATTAAAAGTGAAATGGCTATTGCGGCGTGTTTTGATCCTGAGATTCAGTAATCTTTCAGAAGTTGCATAAACCCCCCCCCCCCACCGTATAATCGTGAAAAGAAAAAACGGAAAACGGTAAAATTACATCATTGGTGGAGAAATGCCGGTTCTTAAATCGTGGGGAAAAGAGTTAAAATACAACCATAGTGACAAATAATAGACCATTTACTATGCTTAACACAAAATAAATTGTGTATTAGCGCCCCCTACCGTATAATCGTGAAAAAAATGGAAAATGGTAATATTCCGTTTATGTAATATATAATAAAATGGCTATTGTGGCTGTTTGCGGCGTGTTTTGATCCTGAGATTCAGTAATCTTTCAGAAGTTGCATAACAGCGCCCCCTACCGTATAATCTTGAAAAGAAAAAACGGAAAATGGTAAAATTACGTCATTGGTGGAGAAATGCCGGTTCTTAAATCGTGGGGAAAAGAGTTAAAATACAACCATAGTGACAAATAATAGACCATTTACTATGCTTAACACAAAATAAATTGTGTATTAGCGCCCCCTACCGTATAATCGTGAAAAAAATGGAAAATGGTAATATTCCGTTTATGTACTATATAATATTTCACATCACAGATTAAAAGTAAAATGGCTATTGCAGCTTGTACATCAAAATAAATAGACAATACACAACTGCCGCCTTCTGCCGGTACCGTGGCATTCTTGTTAACAGCTTTATCAACCAGAGACACACTATATAATCACACAAAGCATTCTTTGAGTAGCGTGCATTTTTAAAAACTGCTCTCCGGCAAACACTTTCCTACTTATAAAAGTCTCAGGGGCGGCATCAAATTCCATAGACGTGTCCTCCCCTGCACTGGCTATTTTATTATTTTCACTTACCGAAATGATTTAATTTCATCAGTTCCTTAATCAGGTTAACTGATTAGCTCTCGCCACAGCCAGAGATGGCTTTAGACGCACATTAATATGACAGAGAACTCTGGGAAGGAGTGGGCGGAAGAGCAAAAGAGAGAAAACTGGAATATAAACCACATGATGGGAGGTGGAAGATGTGTTTTTTTTCAAAGGCGACATTTAACTAATCTGTAGCCCCAGCTGTTCGGATTTGAGAGGTGGTCAATTTAATTTCCTGTGCTCCAAAAACAGCTCAATTATCATAACATGGTCTCTGACAATCCCAGTTTCAAGAAGTTTCATAAAATACTTAAAAATGTATTTCTACAATAGACAAACTCTTAAAACTGAGCCATCTGACATTAAGATTTCAAACTGAGCATAAAACGTGAGGTTGACTGCTCGAAATTTGGACCGTCAGGATTGGTGAATCTCTGGATTTTGCACAAATTATGTCCAGTCATAATTATCACATCTGTTTTAATAAGACCCTACAGACTTGCAGATACAGCTGCTAGATTTATGTCTCACTAAAGGCAACCCTGAAGCTATTTTACCTTTTATGATATCAAATATAAGGCGGCAAATACTAAAAAAAAAGGTGGAATATTATGCATAATACCAAATGCAAGCCCAAAAATCATGTTTAATACTAAATGTCAGCTCAAATGTAATGTATAGTACTAAAATAAGATGATATACATTT